GATCCCCGTTACTGTTAGTGCTATCAAAAAAATAATATGGGCATTATCTGATCTTTTTGAGACAAATGAAGCCAATTTCAGAATGGCCCCATATTTCCTTAATTAAAAGCAAGATTAAAAGAGATACAGACAAATGTTTATTGCAAAAGTTTCTTTAAAAATAATTGTTGAATTAACTGCCAATTGACAACTGACAATTTTTAATTTTCCCCCGTACCTCTTAAGCGAGCGAATCTTTATAAATTTTGATTTTACCACTTTAAGTTTGACTCCAAAAAGCACATGATGCCAATACTCTTTGACAGCACTAACAATTACGGAAATCCTTTCATTTAATCCACCCTTAGTAGCCAAACCTGGTAAACAAAAAATACGGTGTTGATTCCTCAAACCCTCAGGCGCACACACGGACGAAATTTAAGGCGCATATTCCACAGTTTCACATAGGTATCTAATTAGAGCAAATATTTCGTAAAGTCAATTCAGCCAAAATTAAACTTACCCTTCAAAAGTAAAACGCTCCTAGAAAACGATTAACCAATCGCTGTTTTCTACGCCTCTTCCTAAAAACTGGGGCAGTTTCGCGGCAAAAAAGTTGGGATAATAGCGACACTAATAATAAACACAAGAATTAATTCATTTTTGCGATGCATCACAATTAATTGAACGGTTTAATTCGGAGCGGCGTTCCGTTTAATGAGTATAATCCTTCTTTTGATATACCTATCAATAAACTACTGTATCAAAACAGAGGAAGTTAATCACCCCTTCTTGAAGCTTAACAATACACTTACCTACCATTTCAAATAACCCCATATCAATTTAAAACTTTACATGTGAACGTTGGTGCGTTACCATTCCAACCACCTGGAGAGGATATGGAACGTAACTCATACAAAATTATTACGTAAGGGGGAAATTGCCTTCAAATAATTAACCTGCATACACCTGGCCGTTAGATAATTGTAGATGAGTCATGTGCATAAGCCCTATTAGATAGACGTACGGTTGGGGGTGTACACGTGCTTTATTTGGGGTTACCTTTGTTACTAGTACCGCCTGACACAAATTTACATGCAAGTAAAAAAGCAGTAAGTAATGGTTATTTCGACAAAAAAGCAACAAGTTTAGAGAGAACAATTGTCGAGAATGATGAATTAAATTAGGAATTCAAATCAAGTCGCAGACACCTCGGCTCAGTCTAATACTCTGGTTTTGGAAGTCTGCAGCTAAAAATTGTATTGCAAATTAATAAAACACAAAGGAAAAATATACCCTACCAACAGCATTTTGCGAGGCATTTTGGTATTGTCGCCAAACAATCCGCAACACAAAAAATAGACATCAATTTTTACATACTTGAACCTTTCTCCCTTAAAAATTTGCCTGTAGAGCGTCGCTCAAATTCGTGGCTCACCATTGTACCTTCTAACAGTAAGAGATACAGTGTAGGTTAAATGGGGGATATAAAGTTGTTCCATTTTTTGTTTAAAAAATAAAAAATATTTGAAAATAACTGAAATATCGAAAAAACTGAAAATGTCAAATTTCGTTTTCTTTTTCGCTATAGCTTAAACGATCGGAAATGGACGATTCCCGTTAGCACCTTCTATGGACCTTTTTACGGACAATCCAAATCTGTTATCAGCATTTCCATAACACAACTTTCTTAGTTCTTATGGGCGCCGCTTAGGATTTCTTCAGAAGAAGATACAAGGACAAAAAAAAGAAATTCAATTGAATGCATCGCCATCATACCCATGTTGTTACAGTAAGATCTAGTTACCCGTGGATGTTTTTTGAAATTTTTCTCGCAAATTTATGTAAAAGTATAGAGCATGAACGTCATTATTTTTCTTTTTTTTTGTCCTCTATGTCATTCTGTAAGAATCCAATATGGCGGTCATAAAAAATAAGAAAGTAGTAACCTGTAGCTTCTACATCTGCGTGCTATGGAAATTCTGACAAAACATACAGATTCTTCGAAAAAAAGTGCCCGTAGAAGATGCTAAAGGGAATCGTCCATTCCGACCATTTAAGCTAGAGAAAATGAAAACAAACTTTGACATTTTCAGTTTTTTGGTGATACTCGTATTTCAGGTATTTTATAAAAAGATTTTTCAAAAACTTCAAAAGCGTTCTTTTTACATGAAAAGAGGCAACGTTGCTCTTACCGTTGCGAAGATCCCAATGGTGAACCACGAATCAAAATAACCGTTTTTCCGAAAACAATATTTAGGTTTTTAACTTTGACATTTTTTTTCTCATTTTTTTTTTGTAATTAAACCTGGCACAATTTTTGGAGGTTGTACACGGAAAAATAAGGCCTTTCGAATAATTTAATCGAATTTCGAATAATTTAAATAAACATGTTGCTATTGGAAAAAAAATTCGATGCCGTTGCGGCACAGCAAATTTTTTTAATCCGTTATTTTTCGTTTCCGTATACCTAACATACGTATCCAAAATTTGAACAAAATATAGCCACCTAGGAAGCTCAAAATAATGTTACTTTCTTGGAAAATTGTGCCGATGGCTAACTCAATAAGCATAACGAAAATTTTTTCAAGGAGACCTTTTTCTCCATGACTGAAAAAATAACAAATCGTCACACCTCTGATGCAGATCACTTGATACCAAATAGACAAACACAAATTTCAAAATATTCTGCTCCACATATCTATTAAGATCTATTAAGATGCTAGCCCTCGTCGTCGTCTAATTGTTGTAGCAGCTGCCAAGCGGGCGGCCGGAGTTCGGTTCCCGGTCGATGCAGATTTTTATACCTATACCTACTTATTTAGCATTTCTACATTTCGGCAGACTACTGCTGAACGTGGACTTAGGGTGTCCAACAGGCGCGTAGAGGCTGGTATTTCTAGTAACATATATTTATAAAAAAAACAAATTTTGGATTCAGCTACAGACCTTTGTAATACTAGCAACAAATTTCCAACACCCTTAAAGGATTCGGTTTTTTACGTATACAGCAATAATAGTGGCGAGGTATTGATTGATCCAATAGGCTGATTGAACAGTCGATACAAATTCCTACGTCTCGTATCATGAAAGGCTCCTTTGATTTTGAAGTTCAAACACGGTCACTCAAAAATTAGGTTATTCGACAGTAAATGTCAAAGTCATATCAAAATATTATTTGCGCACGATCAACCACTTGAAATGTGCGAAATGAAATATTACGATGATAAAAATTAATTTCGCACGTTTAATTTTACGGTGCAATATCCGCTACTTTCGCAATTCAACTTTATTTACGGTGGCCCAACTTCAATCTTTGCGGTTTAAAACCTCCACTATTGTTCGTATTTAAGGTAATAGTTTCTAAACCGTCAAGGAAATGAAGGCAGCCAAAAAGTTTAATTCGCAATTTCACGCGTTTAATTTACACGTACTTAAGCTTCGCTACTGTAAGCGCACGAAATTTCTCAGCAAAAATATATGCTCTCGATCATTAGAGTATTTCACTAATACATTTAATCGCCCTGCGCTGAATTACAGGTGGTTGAGTGACAGAACAAACAATCTTTTCCTGTAATCTGAATTAATCAAACGCATTTAAAAAGTCAGGACCGTATTTCAAGACCACATATACAAAATTAAAAAAATTTAAGTAAAAATCGAATCAAATAAAATCCGTTAATGGACTCCCGTTACACAATATACTAATGTCGCTAAGAGGAATTCTTGGTGTAAAATAAAAATTTCTCAAAGGGCCGGATAATAAACACTAGATGGAGCATCAATTAATAGAAATGTCACTCTACAACTTTTTATATGTATCGGTACTCGACGCGTATGTATACATGTTTTCCACCATCAAACCTACTTCGAAACATACAATAAGCGAAAAACTAACAAACAACTAAAAATGTTGAGGATTTTTGGGCCCCTTAAATGCAATTGGGGTGCAGCTTTGGAGTGTTTCACCCCTCGATATTAACTCTTTTTTGCTAATACATATTTAGTAGGCCATGAACTATCCAAACAAAATAATAGTGTCATTCAGATTTTTGCCCCGGTGGCAACGATTTAACTGACATTGTAAGGGATTCGAAAATCCCAATGCTGTGCATGGTATAATAGGTCACCCTCTACATTTCATTCCAATCAAAATTTCACATCACTGAGGTTTTACTATGGTTGATACCAAGATTGATACTATGTATTTCAATTTGAAAGGTACTTACAGTAAGTAACAAAATTTATATCTACCTAGGTCAATCTTTATGCAAATGGGTTCTAGTCAATGAAACAACCAAAAGTGAATTAAAATTAAAGCTAAGATTGAGAATCTTCATTAGTAAAGGAATTACTTAATTATCGAGTTAATTACCTACTACCACATAAAACAGTGAGCAAAAAATAGCACAGTTTAAGATTCAAAATTAGTTACAAAACAAATCAACTGAATGGTTAGTTAAAAGATTTACTAATTACGAAAGGTAATACAGCGAAATCGGTGGGATTCTGTATTGTATGAGGAAATCGAAAGCGATTACTATAGTAACCCGCCATGGCAACGAAGCTGGGGTACGTAGCTTTCGCTTCTTTATCCGTAGCATCGCTCTCAAATCAATGTCCTGACCTTGGGATTTTATCTAAGCATCTCTCTTTATACTTTTCTATCAAATTGTGTACGGGAAATCTGATTTGAGATGGCATCTTTTAGCGAGCACCTGGAATTTTCTCGTGCTGGTTTCTTTTTCTAAATAAAATAGAGAACTGTTTCGAGTGAGAAATTTAAATTAAAATGACAATCGCACATATTTTGTCTAATGACATAAACTAAAATTTTGTGCACGAGTAAACGGAGCTTCTAAAAGTTGTAGGCATTCGTGGTAAGGTTATTGCATGGGAGAAGGTTAACTGAACCCCTCAAGATAATAAAACATGTAAAGCATAACACAGATTAGAGTGTAATTTAAAAAGTGGGAGCCATATTTGTAAAAAGGTGAGAATTAATAAATTAATTAACATACCCTAAAATTGTGAAACTTCTGTTGCCTAGCAAGTGGATCAATTATCTTCTTCAAAACTCGCCAAATCGTGCCGAAGTCAAAAATGATAATATTGCCAAGACATTTTTCATATGATCCCCTACGTAACACAAGTTGTTGTATCGGTCGCCAAGGATACGACGAAGACTTGATTCCCAAACCTTGACATCAGCTGGCTTCGAGTGCGTTTCCTACTTAAATTTGTTTACGTTAAATATAATCGTCCCGTTAATTCTCTAATAATTTACGTAATCTATTTACATAATGTCGAAAGCCACACAAATTACATTTTTAAAGAGGAAATAATCTGATCGATTATTTCATTTTTATGGAACTATACTAGCGAGCTCTCATCCCAGTCGGTATATCGGAAATCTTAACTGTAAGCCCATTACAATCCATAGCGGTTTAGTATTAATTGTCACCAACGCATGGCGCTGAGTTTAAAATATTTCCCGGTCGCATTTTTCATTAATTAAACAAATTTTTACTGACGCGGCCCCTTACGTGATCCTGTCTGCGCAATTTCTTCGTAAGGTTGTAAAAGTTTACGAAATCGCATACTGCATTCTGATTTGCGTGGTCGTTATCGTTACAATGAGCACGTTATCTTAATATATAGGGTGTCCATCGACGAGCGTAAGCAATTACTCCAGAGGCTCACATCACTATTTAGGAGCAAGAGATTTCACCATGTTGCTGTAGAGCACAACCATTGATTATAAGTGTGTATAATCAATGGCACAACTTATCAGTTTCTTTTCAGAGGTAACGGAGGTTGTTTATTTTAAAAGGTGGATTTGGGGGCACAGATTAAAAAACAATAAGTAGGTTTATGTTTTATGTGATTAACACTCAGAAAAAAATATGAGGGGGCTTTCTCTAGGTTTAAAGTAAGTTAAGGTAATGTCGTTTAAGTATTGGCATAGAGTAAATAATATAATTTACTCTATGGTATTGGAAATAGCAGCATTGATTTTACAACATAAAATTGGTCTACATATTGTTTTGGGCCCAAGAAAACAATATATTTGGCAATTCATTTACATTTATGGAAGTTCGTTGTTAGAATTGTTTGCTGTGTGTATGTGTACTGAATTGTTGTTTGTAAACATTTTCGCCTTGAAGGGACGGTCACAGGGGTGGCAAAAACTGTAACTAATAAATGAGTTACGACAACTAATGCTGTGATTGACCTCGACTCTTAACTGTAGGCGAGTAACCTATCTCGGGGGCGAGAGCCTGATAATAAAAACTGTTCGGTTTAGAATACGTGTGTGATATATGAGCTGTGATTGACTGATTTCAACATATTTTGTTGTATCATTTAATTTGCCCTAAAAGGCCATGTAATTTTCCATCTTGCTCTTAACAGAAAGGATTTTATTATTTTTATTGCACCAAAGATATTTCACCCTTTCTTAGAATGTTTACTATACCTTTATGTGTGATGTATTTGTTTTTAGAAAAGAGCGGCCTCGCCGATACCCTCTATTATTGCTATTCGATTCTTTTAGTTGACCCTTGACATGTAATGACTGAAGATTCGTTTTGTGTCAACTTTCCTAAGTCGGTGAAAATATATCACCTCTCGAATCCTACATGCTGTATATTTTGTTTATATTGTTGTGAGATTTTTATGGGATGCATTCATATCATTACAAACAGTTAATTTTGCTATACAGTTTAATATTAATTTGTCGGTTGGTTTTTTTCTTGGTAAGTTCTTTGTTCCAGCTTATTTCTGTTTTGACTCGGTGAACTACTATTTTCAAAGTTTATTCTTGCATTATGTAATTTATTTCGATTAAATTTCCGATTTTTTTCACAATCTTCACAATAATTAATTAAAGACGTTTGGCATTTCAATAATATATTTTGCGTTCCTTCCCTACCGTACTTCAGATTATCCTGTTGTTCACAATTAACGTTAGAAGCCCTGCCTTAGATGTTTGTCACATATGCCACTTTCTATTTCAGTTGTAAGCGGAATCTGTTCAACTTTTAGAGGGAACAGCCCTTCGGATGGTTGATTTTATTTCCATGTTATTGTAGTGTGAAATTAGCGTAGAACCTGGGGGTTAAGTACACTACAATTTGTTTAAAAATTTAATTAATTTAATTCTTACACGGCTCTACAAATTAAAATATTACTTTTACCTTTTATTTCTCACTCCTAGAAGAAATAAATAAAGCTCCATTCAAACTGACGCGGACATGCGAGAGCGGGACGGATGCGGAATATACAGGGTGTTTCTTGGGAGCTTTAGTTAAACGTTTCTGGGAAAATAAAATAGGTAGCTTTTTGAAAATGTGTACTTAGGAGTTACGCTGAAGGCCGAATCTATGTAAAATATTTTCAAAATGGCCGCATTTCCGGAAACACCGGAGGTAGATAGTAACTTCGTTATTTTAAATAGCAACCCCTATTTTTTATTGGATTTTTGGATTCTGCATGAAATTTCAATTCTTTTGATACCATATGTCGATATCTGCCATTTATGGTTTTTAAGTTATTTTGTCTTTAAGGAAAAAAATGGCGGATGCAGATGGTACCTTGATAATTGATTACTTGAAAATGGTTGTAGTCATGGCAACCTATTTGTATCAGTGCATAGAGAATGAATAGGGTTTTCTTTTAGTGCACTTAAAAAAAAGTTAAGTTGCGTACGACCGCCCCTATGGAGATCCAAATTTATGAAACTTCAAAGACTAAAAACTCAGTTTTTGTTAATAGAATGACCATTTTCTTACTATCGCATGAGATAAAGAATCGAAATGGGCATATTTTGACAATACAATATACATGCTCCTATTTTAACAGTTTCTGACTTATTCCCATTTTATTGATCAGCGGGATATGCGTACGTTATATGCGTACGAACGTGCGCACGCGCGAACGTACGCACGTACGCACATACATGTACAGACGGAAAAAATGGTTATTCTTTAAAAGTTGCTTAAAATGATCTAAAACGTCGACATTTGATGAAATTTTAACATGTCCAAAGAACGGTAATCGCAATAGCCACTTAGCTCAAGCTAGGAAGCTACAAAAGGCAATAATTCATTAAAAAATTATCAAAGTCCTCGTGTGAGATCGAAGGGACTTCAGCGCATTTTTGTGTGGCAGATCAGTATTCTATTAGCCACTTTTGACTCAACCACGAATAAAAGATCTTGTCGAAGGATACCACATTCCCTTTGACGGTACCCACTTCCGATGTCCCGTTCACCCGCAATTCGCGTTTGAAGATTTAACTCCACCATCAGTAAGATCATGTCGGGAGCTACCACATTCCCTTTGACGGTACCCACTTCCGACGTCCCGTTCACCCGCAATTCGCGTTTGAAGATTTTTCTCCACCATCAGTTAGATCTTGTCGGAGGCTACCACATTTCCTTTTTCGGTGCATACTTATATTACACCACATTTTGGTGGATCTCGCTAAAAACCTTCCACAAGATAGTACTTAATTTTTGGGGGGCACTTCTCATTGCTCGAGCTTCTATTGGCGACACGAGAAAGAGAGACAGCCATTCGAGATTTACGAAACGTTAAAACGCGTGACAGAATTCGCAACGGAAGGTAAAAGGTGTCCGAAGTTGACTACCTCTCGCGAAGACGCGCGCGCGCCTTGCAAAAGATCGTTAATTTCGCCCCTAGGCCAAAAAACAAAATTCCGCCACGCAGGAGTTGTGCGCGTTTACAACATCTTTCTGACGACACCAATTTGAAAAGAATCGGACCAAAACTGTAGTAGAAGATAGGAAAAAACTGAAAAACCTTCACGTTAGTATACTACGCTCGAGGACGACGCCCAGATGTCGCCAACCCCACATCATGTAGCCCTGTCCCCAAGGTTTAGAAATTACACGGCCTTGTAGATACACGTACACCCGTTGCCTTTCTACAAGAGTTCTTCTACGCGCCCACATTTGCTGCCAGCCAGCCGACCAGCCAGCCAGCCAGCCAGCCAAAGTGAGATTAAAAGCTACTTTTTACAAATAAATTTGCAAAAATGCGCTAAAAAGGTTCCATTTGACTAAAATTAGGGAACATGAACTTCAAGACAGTAGATTCTGGTGAGCGAGTTCTCCGGCGGGGGCACATTTTCCAGTTTTTTTAAGTAAGTTTAGGTACAAGTTTTCTGGGGGAGATATTCTGTCCTTGAATTTTGTTCGGGAAAATTAAGATCCTAGTGAGCGAGTGCTTCCATCCGCGAGCGATTCTATAGAAAACAATTGACCAGGAACGCTCAGGACAACTCGAGTTCAAAGTTTGACATATAGCGTAGCGAGTGTGTCAATTGAACGAGAGTTGGAAAACACTTTTTTCTCAAGTTTTACACATAGGTAAAATTTTCTCTGAACATGCAATCAAAATTGAAAAATGATCGTATGCAATAACACAGGTTAACTACAAAGATCTGTGGCAATAATGAAGTTTGACGCGATATGTAGCAATCTAGATACACGGATATGTTTCAATTTTAAATGTCATTATTGAGATTAACGCAGCAATTCAATTGTTTTTTACTTTCCTCAATAGAGAGGAAAATCATATTTTCTTTACTCTTTTTAAAGACGAAAGTAATTGTTTCTAAAGTAGTTTAAGAAAAAGTACACATTGTACCATTGTTTTACCGAAGCCGTCTGGTAAAGTGACAGGAGGAAGGAAAAGTAGTCAGGTAAAACGTGTGTTATGCCTTTTGATTATTATAATATAATCAAAGGTTATGCTACTGTCATGGAAACGAGAATTACTCAATTAGGTACCTAACATTTTAAGTACCTAGGCGCGAAAATGAAGGTTTCATGATGATTTCAGGAAAACTAATTTTTACAATGGTTTCTAGTAAAAATGTGCAGAAGATTAAAGTTGTTTATGCCTAAAATAAATTAAGGACGTAATACAGAGATTATTAGGATGTCGGGCTCGGTAATTGTTTACTCCCTTTCTAAGAAAACCGTCTTTGTGCAGACTTCAGACCTAAATAAAGGCTGTAGGTAGGTACCTACGTGAATCCGGTGAATCATCGTTATTGTATTATTATCTACCTACAAATATTTGGCAAAAACTAGTTTTGTGAAGGGTTTAGAGGAACTACACCATACATTATTTTGATAAATAGCTAAACATCGTAGTAAATGTTCACAAGTAAGTATAAATTATCATTGGTCATTTATTGTAGCCAATCAAAGAATAATTATTACCATGCCGGTGTTGCGGATCAAATAGTGTCAAGTGTGTCAATATTTTATTATAAATACGTTACAGTTTATTGGTAATGCAGTCATGCCGCCCTGTACCATATTTAAAATTATCGGCCGGTGATAGGTGATTCCATTGTATATGTTGATTCTATCACATCACATATGTAAGCGAAATGATAATGACCCTATGAAATTATGTATGAAACGCCACTGATTCTTGTGTAGATTAATCTGGCGCGAAACCGTTGTTTTAAAAATTGCATATTTCGCGAATTGTTGTGTCACATAAACCACATGGACTTTGAGTGTATTTTAAAAGCACTAAAGCAGTAAGATACAACTGTCACAGGTGAGGGTTTATCACAATGCGTTGAGAACATCTACCTACACTAGACTTTTATAATAATGTGGTTACATATTATTTATAATTTTTTGCCTGTTTTCAAATTTTGAACAGCTCAGCTGTACTGCTATGATTAAAGTGTTGTAGGTAGTGGTCATGTAATCTTTCATGCTTTCAATTTTCATAATACCATTAAAATTGCAGAAATGGCCTCTGATATATTCTCCTCCGAAAAGGCAAAGAAGCTGTTGCAAGGAAAGTTTATATACTTCTTTGGCGACTCAAATACCCGTGCAATCTATAAAGATCTTTTGTGGCTACTAGAAGATGGAAGGCTTATACCTGATGATAGATTAAAACGGAAAAATGAAGAATCGCACGCCAACGATATACGAACTTCGAACGGAAAGCTTCACAACGGATGTGATTACGACGAGAGAAGAGAATATCTCGAAAGCTGTATTATAAAGTTTCAATTTATAACAAAGCTATACCATCCAGCTCTTGTGGCTAAAATTAATAATTTATCTATACAGCCCGATGTAATAGTTATAAATAGCTGTGTATGGGACCTGACCCGTTGGGGAAGCACAGACAGTGTAGAGCAATTTAAGAGCAATGTGCACGACACTTTCAAACTATTCAATACGCTCCTACCTTCAACACGAATCATTTGGATTGCAACGTTGCCACCCGCATTTAAAAGTAAAGGAGGTTTTTTGACCAAAGACATCGAGTTTATGAGAAATATGCTACCGTGGCACATAGCATATGCAAATCAATATGTTGCCAACATAGCCAAATCTTTCTCCATCGATTATTTAGATATGCATTACTACTGCAAATTTTTATTGAACTATCACACTCGTGACGGTATACATTGGGAGCCACCCGCAGTTCGTTACATGACAAATTTACTTCTTACACACATTTGTTTATCATGGAATCAAACTCTACCTGGCGTCATTTCGTTGGATTCTAAGTTTTTCTTAAAATCCCAATTTATCAATCCGCAATCACAGAAGAAACCACAGCCCTTTCGAAATATTTCGAATAATCGAAACAATTTTAAAGCGGCCCGTAATACAAAAAATAAAAGGAAGAGAAAGAATGTACATATTCAAGGGATGTATTCGTTTTGATAGTTTTACTGACAATTTTTTCACAAAATGAACAATGTGTATATAGGTTTTTTATTTTTTACTTTAGTTTGATTTGTAGAATTTGTTGTTATGTTTCTGAAACTGTCAGGCTCTTTTGTGTTAACATTTGACCATAATGAATAGACATGCATAACTGGTGTTTTAATTATATGGTAGGTACCTATGTACATGTACATGTACTTACTTTCAGCAGACTGTCAGAGCAGGATGCGTTATAGTAATATTTCTGTCTTTACATTCATTGTTACAATCTCGTTTATTCACGCGGTACATGTCTCTTAGGGTATTCATTTAATTGTTACAAGGCAGGACAACATCCCTCCACGAACCAAAATTGTGACCATGTAAAAATATACTGCCATATTCAAAAATTAATTAGGTGTAATATTTTAATAAAAAAACACAAAAAATAAAAACCTAATATCAATCAAATTTAATAAAAGTATGTTTTTCTGGAACAAAATCGCGCTAATTAAAAATACAACAACCGTACTGTTCTGTGTGAAAGAGAAAGACGCAGCGTACAAGCATGGTGTACGCATCAATATAAGAGTGAGAATGCCCGCTCTCTGTGACAGAAATTTGTTAATCATGTACATGAATTTTAATTAAGGGTAGTCTTGACTTAATTTTTTGGGCAACCCATTTGCAATGTGTTTGTTTACATATCAAGATTGCTAAAAAGATGTATTTAATTCAATAAACAGATAGGCGAAGATTAATCGACTCTCACCATGCTTGTATGCCCATAAGCCCGAAAGACGTTGCTGCCCTTAATTAATAAATGGGTATAGTAGTCCAGTCAAATTAGCTCTAAAAGTAGTATAAACTGGATGTTGTCATTTCACTGAACGAAACCAAGCGTATTCTATGTAAAAAAATCCGCTGAATCGGAAAATCATAGTCCCCCCGGCCGGAAACGCCCGGAACATATTGTTATAAACAAAAAACGAAGAAAAAATGAGAAAATGTGTTTTTTCACATTTGACTGCCAATATCTCGTTAACTATTGCTCTGAGGGAAAAAATGAATAGAAATGAACTTGTTTAGAATAAAATTTTCTATAAGATACAGTTGGTCCGGAACTCATTTTCAACTGTTATTGTTTTTTAGGGAAAAATGTAAAAACAGTAATCTCTAAAATTAACACTTTGTTATTGTTAAGTAAAATTCATTCGAAATTTTGAAAATCCGTATTTAGTAACTACTTTTGATAACAAAACAATATGACAAACCAGATCACCGTAGGTTTCATACTCATTGAATAATTAGATAAACAAGTAGAAAAAGAGATGCTTTGTCTTTCAAACTGGGGGAGTACAAGAGTGTTCTCAATTTTTTTATACATATTATAACCCTAAAACAATCATTTCCAATATTTGTCCCGATAATTCCTGCAAATCGACGGACTGTGCAATTTTTTTTTCAAAATCGAAGAATTTTCTTAGTTAACAAATGGAATAACTCCCGAAATATAACAAAAAAAATATAACTCTATAATAGGCGAATGTAAAGCTCTCGGAAAGCCGTACATTAAAAAAAAATACGTCCAAATCCGATTAATAGTTCACGAGAAATCAGCTTTTGACTTTGAAGCCAGTTTTCGAAACAACCAAAAATGATTTTGCAAATCGGGTCGCAACGATCGATTCTTTACAGCGTGAACTTTTTTTATGCTTCTATTTCACCAAAAAGAATGATTTTTATTAATGCGAGTGCCAAGGGCCTATTATAGAGTTACTTTCTTGTTAAATCTCGGAAGCTATTCGATTTGTTAGTTAACTAAAAAATTCCACAGTCCGTTGATTTGAAAAAATGGTCGGGACAATTATTGGAAAAGATTGTTTTACGGTTCCATACTATATATAAAAAAATTGGGAACGCTCTTGTATAGTCCCCCAGTTTGAAAGACAAAGCATCCCTTCTACTTGTTTATCTAATTAATCGAGTATGAAACCTACGGTGATCTGGTTTGTCATATTGTTTTGTTATCAAAAGAAGTTACTAAATACGGATTTTCAAAAAGATCGGATGAATTTTACTTAGTAATAACAAAGTGTTAATTTTCGAGATTACTTTTTTACATTTTTCCATAAATAAAAATAACAGTTGAAAATGTATCTTATAGAAAATTATATTCTAAACAAGTTCATTTCTATTCACTTTTTCCCTCAGAGCAATAGTTAACGAGATATTGGCAGTCAAATGTGAAAAAAACCGACATTTTCTCATTTTTTCTTCGTTTTTTGTTTATAACAATATGTTCCGGGCGTTTCCGGCCGGGGAGACTATGATTTTCGGAAGCAGCGAATTTTTTTACATAGGATACGCTTGGTGTCGTTGAGTGAAGTGACAACATACAGCCCAAACCGTAATTTGACTGGACTATAGGTACTTAATTTTGTGTAATTTCCTTCCCATGTTATATTGTTATGGGCCGCACGCATCGCGCATTATTCCTTCTTAGCAGTTTCTTCGTCACTGTCTTGATATAAAGGGAGTACAAGGTATATTGCAACAATTGGGAAAATCATGACGCAAAATTAAAAGAAAAGATTACCATCAGTTCTTGTAATTATACCTGCTGTAGCGTTTATATCAAGGCAGTGACGAAGAAACCCCGAAGCAAAGACGACAATGCGCGACGCCGTGCGGCCCGGACCATCCCACACAAATTCCCGCCGGAAAACTTACACTTCAACGTTGCCATTTTAGATAGTGTATGGTTGGTTGCCTAAATGTGGAAGAGTAAGCATATGATTATTTATCGTTACTTTAGTCGGTGATCCTATCTTTCCTAGGGGATATAAATAAACGTTACGATGACGTCCTCTGCATCTTCAGTTGCCTAATCATCTGCTATAGCGTGGGGCCCAACCTTTCTATTTTGCAAGTTCTGTAGTAATGGATGCATTTATAGTGATATTAGTAGTGATATTCGGACACAATATGACAAAGTTATGTTGATTTAATTGATATGGCACTATTACCAACAGCCACATCATTCGCAACAGTAAAAGCTAATAGGCAGTCTACCACTCTGTCATCGATTCAAGGTAATTCTGCTGAAGTTTAGGTCCTTAGATATAAGTATGGGTCTGATCATGGCCACCTAGATGCAATATTAAGTGGCTCCAAAAAAATCAAGTAGCCGTAAAAATTTTTGAAAATGTCGTCTCAAAAATCCAAAAATGTAAAAATATACAAGCTGCTCCATTTCAAATTCAAAACCTGGACTATTTCCGGTGAAACCGGAAAGAGAAAAATATGCGAAAACTCTCCTCTTCACGTACCATTTACCTGTACCAAATCTCATTTTGATACATCTAATACTCTAGAAATTATGGCTTGTCTAATAGATTCGTTGACACGCTGTATAGAAAGTAGTGGTTTAATTTGTAGAGCAACCCAATAAGGAAAACAAGAAGCCGTATTTAATTGTTCCGTTTGTAGCTGTTCCCATGGGAATAATTAGAAACTATCTTTGTCACATAGAAGACAAGCGGGCGAATTAATATTTTAGAATTTCAGTTCCATCAAGTAATTATTAGATGATTTTAGTGTCCTACTGTCAATTTTAAAACGAGCATTAAAACTATACCAAACAGGTTTACACCGTATCAGTTTGATAAAAGAGACCTTTTGCCGGATCTGAGAACTTGTAAAAGACCAGATGGGGGTTTATTAGAAGTAGGAATTTGGAAATTTTAATTCGACCATTTAGATACTTAAGTATAATTTATTAACAGTTGCTAATTAAACGAGTTGAAATACTCATCATCCGATTAGGACCTGAGTGGTCTCAAAAGAAGCGCTCTTAATTAATTTAAACTTTACGACCAATTACGGATTTTTATGTTTATCGCAGGCCGCACAATTAAAGAAGTTTAGTTTTTGGATGTAAACAATCGAATAAGCTTGTGGACTGGAAAACCGCCGATCCTTCCATGAATTGGCCGAATATTATAAAAGTTAACGCCGTTGTTTAGAGGAGATCTTTTTGCTGCATCTTTGAAAGTTACGTTCGTAGGTAACGAAATTTGTGAGTTTTCCGTAAATACTTTGGCAACCGCACCGTGTTTAAATCATCGATCTTTTGCCGTTTTGCACCTTGACGGTCGCCTGCACTTCGAATCTATTTCTTTTTTTCCGCTCCGTTTTTGATCTTTCCATTCCGCTAATTATAAGGGGATATTTTTTTCCTGTATTTGCTTTCCCGTATCAACCGCGAATTAATTTATGCTTTGTTGCTTGCATTACTGTGACCGTGTGTCGTAATTCTGTTTTAGTTGCTTCCCTGGATGTAATTGCCCGCCGAATTCTGGAGTTTCCGTTGTCTCCAAGTGAGTGTATCCGTGACAATCGCTCCTATTGCCGACCTTGACCAGTAGCAGGGGCGCATCCTTTGGTGGCGCTTGACTCCGTCCGTTCCACCATCACTATATCTTCACCAATCGCACAATGAAAATTATAAATAAACGCTTTGGTGTCAAACAGGTCCTTTCAGTGCAATTAAAATTTGTTTTAGGGCACATTTTGACAATGAAGAAAAATGTAAAAGATAAAATCTTAAGTGGCGTGTAATACAAAAACACAGTCTTGTTTCCTTTCAGACCTGCAATGGACACTTTTCTTAAATTCCAAGTTATATTATGTTCCTCCATAGCCCCCTGGAACTCTAACACAATCTCTAGTATTTCACCAACCACTTTCATGTGAATTGCTTACAATTGATTTAGACGCTTCCTTACGCCAAACAAAAAATATACAAAAACATAATCGCATGGGATCTGACTAGAGAATCTAGTAATGTGATGGTATTGCTTGAATTACAGAAAAATGCATATCTCTACAGATTTTCCAGCATGTTAATTACATGAGGTGTGTGCAATCTTAGTCTGCGCCATTGTCTTTTTTCATTTGGAATGTTTTACTTGGCTAATCGTCATGTGTAAGTTCTTATCAATCCTTACCGACTTGTTTACTAAACTAAAAAAAATATAATTCCTTGTATTTTATTAACATAAGAAAAACTATAAAAGTAATATTTGTACAATCAAAACTCAAAATGTTATTATATTTTGTAGTAGTAAAGCAATAAAATAAAATTAATCTTCGAATAGATTGGGTCTAATTTTTATACAAAAATAAATCATTCACGTTCAATGTAAAAAAAGAAGGTAGTAAGCATAATGAAACACGTTCGTAAACTGTCAAAAATATTAATGCAACATTTACGTTCAATTTATCAATATTTACACATCATAATAATAAAAATATTCATATTATACAACTCTGAAGTAACAAAATACATCTACATACAATGAAATTTTAAAATTATCACAAACATCCTAATAAGTCATGAAATGGCATATCAGCTTTATCTTTCACTTTATTAAACGTACTGACAAAAGCCTCCTTTTGTTTATCGTTTGATAAATTTCTGTAAAAATCCGCTCCGGCAATGCACAGCATTTTTCTATCCTCGTACTCGTACCGACCGATTCTAGATTGCACGTACGGAAAGAACGCTCTCAGCCATTTGTTAATACTGGCGCTAATAAAGAAACAAGTTAGGCACCACGTTGCCATTCCAATCGAGAAGGATTGGGTAAAATTGGACAGGCTGAAGACGACCCAATCTTGTAATAGAAATAATTGAGATCGATCAATGGCAGATTGGAAAACCTAAAAGTACAATTAATCAAATCAGAATTTTAAATGTACTCCTGTTGCTTATGTGTAATAAAAATCTTCAACACCCACGAACGCGAAAGGTAAACAATTGTCGAACAGTGTTTTGACCTATACGTCGTCTAGTATATAAACAGTCGCAACTACTCGTCCATTGCAAAATTTATGTTTTTTTTCCCAGGGTTAGAGAGATGAAAATATTATAGCATAATTTGTGTACACCTACGTCTACCTGCGATTGATGTCTGTTTTTATACTAGAAGAGCAATAAATTAAAAGGGATTCTCACTGTGATATTACGTACAGTGAAGACAGTTGTGCAAGTAAAATGATTGTGTCATTCAGAAATCGTGATACATCAGCGCTAGCATCAACGAAAATTAAATTTTGACAAAGTGTGCGAGTGTTAAAAACGGTTCAATTTACAACACACTAAGTTTATGCGATTGAATCAGGCGGTCCTATTTTTTATGAAGTTCAAAAGTAAGTTTAGCCCAGAAAAACAAAAAAAAACTACTCGTCAAAGTTCAGAAATTGGTGTTCAAATAACAAACAGCATACTCATTTGTAGTAGAGACTTTTCGGTAATGTGAAGTGAATTACAAATAGTGGTTCAGAATGTCCAGAATACGCTCTACAACGTTATTAGTGGATATTATTGATCAGGATGCAAATAAATTAGATACGACGAGTTGAAGCGCTAATTTGTCCAAATATTACGGTCGAGTTCGTTAGACGCCGGCGAAAGTTAAGATTCCTCATTTAATCCCGTGCTTTTCGGTCGTAAAAAACACTAAATAATAGTTGTATCGGTTTCACATACTTGAGCTATGGGCAGTTCAAAGTATATATTAAATAAATTCAAAATATGCAAAAAAAAATTTGGGGTGTTTTTTACAATTTACCCTCTAGAGCCACCCCGTACAGGACGATTTTTGACGCCTTCTGGATTTCGATATTTCTAATGATCATGCATCATTTAAAATTGGTTTCAGCTTTTAACCCCGAAGTGTAAACGAAAATTACAATTTATGGCTGTGGGAACTCTACTATTGATAGCAAGCCTGTTCAGATCTGATAACAGGTTACTTTTTTATTTAGCTTCAAACACGAGTACGCACGACAATTTACAAAATATAGATCTGTATTTTATGTGTATATGATTTTAAGATACAATTGAGCTTGGTGGAAAAAAAAATTGATTTTCACTAACCCTGTTTGTTTTTGCAATTTTTTTAATACTTTATTGAGTTACGTATACAGGATGAATTGCCAAAGATTCATTCTTTATATGTAGAGTACCGGGTGACCCAAAAAGACTGTTCCTCGGCCATATCTCGAGAACCGTTCATCATATGACTTAGGGGTAAAAAAAATTATTGGGTAAATCGGTTATGAAGAATCGCTGGAAAATATTTTCAAGTTCTAAAAATGACCAACAGAGGGCGAGCGTAACTGCCATCTTAAAATTTAAAATTGTATTTTCTTTAAATTTCGAATAATAAACTAAACATTCTTTTTTCACATTTTTAAAGAGAACCGCGTTATCTCTCATTTTCGTAAAAACAAAAACTCAGTTATTTCAAAAACAAAGATGGTGTGGGGGGGCGTTCAATTGTTTTTGCAATAACCTGCTTTAACTTCTTAACCGTTTGACCGATTTTAACAAAATATTTTCCAGTGATTCCTCATAACCGATTTACCCAATAATTTTTTTTACCCCTAAGTCATATGACGCACGTTTCCCGAGATATGGCCGAGGAACAGTCTTATTGGATCACCCAGTACATACAGGTATTATAGTCTGGTCAAAAAAGACATTCCAAATAACAAAAACTCCGACAGAGCTGAATTTTGGTAGAGACCTTGTGTACACCAGTAGAAACAGGTAAAGTACCAAAAGTCCCCATAGATCCCATCTGTGCTAAAGAAGTTATTCAAGGTTAAATGTCAAAATTTTCGGTTTTTTGGATTTTTCTCGAAAACGGTAGGTTTTATTAAACATGTAGCTCAGACAAAAATTGTAGATCATAAAATGATCTACAAAAATGATCCTAATATTTTTTTCTTTAAGAACTATCATTCCTAAGATATTGCCCTTTGAAGGAGTTACATTCTACACATTCCCACACCGCTGGTGAGGTCGTATATTTGGCGCGTTTTTTAACGTGGTTTCCCCAGTAGGCCTACTCCACGATCTGTTATTATTATTATTAAATTGCTTTATTGGAATCGTCAGGACATTGTTAAGTACACACACACACACATGCATACACAATAATACTATCTTAAATTAAAAAAAAAATGTAAAATATATTAGAGAAAAGAAAAAAAAAAGATTTTATTCTAGTGCAAGTGTGCTAAAGTTTTATTAATTAATTAATCTCAAATGAGCCTGACCCAAAGGCGAAGTTCGGTTAAGAATGACGGATTATTATGGGAAAATACTGTACATGATGATTATTGATTTCGAAATTGCTATATAGGTGATTTAAACTGTAGTTCTGATTTCTGTTAATATTTTAATCTGATTCGTACTCTTCAAATTCGACTTCCAACAGTCATGTCTTCTTAGATTTCTTTTTCCCCTTCTTCTTACTTTTTGTCTAAGCTATATGTTTGATAGCAGTTACAGTTGTCAAGAAAAATCCAAAAAACGGAAAATGTTGACCTTTGACTTTGAATATCTTTTTTAGCACACATGGTATCTATGGGGACTTTTGATACTTTATTTCTACGGGTGTATCCAAGATCTCAACCAAAATTCAGCTGTGTCGGAGTTATTTGATCAGTATTTTGACTGGGCTATTATTGATTTTGGCAAAAATTGTTCTTTACAAGTTGCATCACCTAAAATTATGGCATGTTAGAAAATATCCTGTGAAAGTAATAACATTGTGAATGAATCAATGGTAAAACATCCTCAATCTCTGTTATGAATGCAGTACCATACCTTAAAAACTACTCTGCTTAATAATTTAGGATGAGGCTGCTGTGGTGACAAAAATTCACCTAAGACCTTCGTTAATATATCCGACGGAGGGAAGAAATCATTTAATATGTTTGGTAACATCCCACATAACACTTCCACTTCAAACGAATATCCCTTTTTAATATAATCAAAAATTGCGGAGATTTGTTCTATCGCTTGTACCAAGTTATCAGGATTGCTTTGTATTATTCCATCAGATTGCGTACTTTCCATTTCCTCCGCGGCACCTAATAAGTCTTTTTCGTAAGTTGCAGATCACAGATTAAAGGAAATAGGCTAACTTACTCATATACATACAAGTGAGCAGTAACTGAAATGCAGGTATTGTCAAAGACAGTCGACCGTTCTTCATAACGTCTAAAGAGAGTTTTACCAGTTGACTACACAGTCGCTCTGATATGCTTCTTTTCAACACCAACCTTTCCAATCCCTGAAACTCGTCAGTTACTTTGTGTTCATGTCTGATTGGCTATACAAACTTTTAAAATTGCAACATGCCCAGCGTTCACTTTTTGATGTGATATGTATGAAATCGCTGCTTGAATAACTGTCATAATAAACTCTGGATTAAAGTATGATTGCTCAATATTTTCAATTAAGTAAAACGCTAATGCCCACACTAGCAAAGTGTGTTCTAACGATTGCGTTGAGACTCTAAAATTGCAGGTAATAAAAAGTGAATACACAGCCTATCTTTTATTACCCATTAAGAAGATGAATGTAGTTTTCTATATATTCAACTGCAATGGGAAGAATCAGCTGCATTTCTTCAGAAAGGCCTCCTATTCGAGTGTTACCGAGAACACAACCCTGTACCACATACAACAAGCCGTGCAGACTTGCTATTTTCGACGGAAGAAATCCACTTTTGAGATTTTGTGCGATTAATTTCTTGACTATTTCGTAAGTGTCCATATCCTTCGTGATACAATTTAGCTTATGCATTATGCACTATGTCATACTTACAGGAGTTAAAACGGCGGCAGCTTTACAAACGATAATAACTAAATATTGTTGTACAATTTCATCTTCGATGGTGTGAACCTTTAACAAATCTAAACACACATCTAACATCCAAGCGAATTGAAATCGATCCGTAAATAAGTCGGAAAGAACCAAAATTGATTTCACCACTTCGTATAGGATGCGTAATGGTGTGCTCTGCGACAGACTGCATTAATTACGAACTTACCAAGTACTGAAATACCTGTCCTTTAATCCACTGCGAGTATAGGTCTATTAAAAACTGTAGACACGAATTTAAATCGAGACCACTCTCGCGTAAAATATTTTGTTGCTTTTGATACACCTGGGCGGCGTGCCTACTTTCATTGTCATTTTCCACGATTCTAGATGATATTAACAAATATTCGACGGAAAGTTGCCCAAAGGAATATGTAGGGTGCAGCTTCTCCAAGTTACTTTTGTTAAAAACGTTGATTATCGAAAATTTACTATTAAATAATCTTGCATGTTCATTAAATTTGTTTTGTAGTATATCATGTACGTGCTTCAGTTTCGTTAGGCTAAAATAAAAATTGTATTTTACAACAATGATGAGCACAGCCATAAGAACTCCTAAAGTGCAAGGAGATAGAAGGATTAGAGTTTATAAAAGGCGCACTACTTTTGCAAAAAACCAAGGTAATGGTAATATGAAACTTTTGGGCAGTCACTCAAGCAAAATGATGAACAAAACTCCTCAAAATAAGTACGTTTAACCGTTTCCCCAAACAAAATTCACTGAGTGCTTGGGGAGGTACTTGGGTCATTGTTGCTTCCCCAATGAAACTGCCCCTGTAGTCCAGGCTAAATAGCTCTAAAATAATTTATTTTCAAAAAAAATTAGTTAGTAGTAGTTTAGAAAAATTCAGCTGTTTTAATTACCATTTACATAGTAATGAAATTATCGGACTTTTTTTTTAAAAGAAAAATCGTATGGAAAGTGCAAGGATGCTATATAATATAACGGGCCCTCATTAATCGAACTGCAAATTCATGAAAAAAAGTATCACTTTCAAAACTAGTTGTACAAATAACTATTTCCCAAATTCTATGCCTGAAAAACCCGGTTTCGCCAGATAAATATTATTTAGCCTGGACTACTGTTAATTGTTCTGTTTGCTTTGGCCATAATAGTCTACTGTGTCTATAGATCAATTTTTATACAAAATACGGAAGCAAATGCAACAATAATCAAATTAATTAACATGACAACCAGATCTTTATTTGTTTTAAAGCTGCATTCACAACGTCCAATTAATGTTTATAATTAATTAGTAAAATTATTACGTCAACTTTATGTAAAGGAATCATTCGCAATGCATGAAATTAATATGTGAAATTAATATGTAAGCAGTGTCGCCATCTATGTAACAGAGAGGTTAATACGGGAACTTTCACCATATCTTGTAGCGCAAGCAAAAAAATCGGCCCTAATCGTAATGCGGCAAGGTGCTTTTCTGTTCTCCACATTCATTGTAGACGCCAAAAAATCAAAACAAAAAAAGGCATGGTTATGTTGACTGTCATATAAAAGCATGCATGCGTACCTCTGTTAATTTCAGTAAAATTAAGCGGTAAAGTTTGCAAACTTCTGCGTTAAGTATTAATTCTAACGATTAATTTTATTGATGTATGTCTCCATAGTAGGTAATTACTTTTCTTAATTGGATTGATAGGTATGAAATAAGTAATTAAAGTTTTTTTCTTTAGGTTATCGATTTCGCTACCTTTATTATCTAACGATTAATTTTCAATATTGTGATTGCCCTTTAAAATACATAGCTTAAACGTTTACGCTAATTTTGAATTGTTAATTGTGCGTATTAATTTTAAGGGTGTGAATGCTACTTAAGAATTTATTTTGATTGTTAAACAAAGTCCATACATGAGCAAACTTCACTTACTAGATCAAAACCTTGAAACTACCACGACCAGATACGCCGGGGGAAGGAGGTAAGATTTGAGAAAAAGCTTCCTTTCAAAAGCGACCACCAGAGGGAGATCCGCCAAGACAGCCGTTCTCTGCTGTTCGGGGGTAAATGAAAGCAAATCATTGATTCAAATAATTATGGATTTCGGCGACTGGAGAGTTCCTAGTTGGGTTGCTTAGGCGTTTCCCTGGGCGCGAGGGAAGTCGTGGTAGAAATGTCGCTACAGGCAGTAGCGGCACTGGAGAAGGGAAGTCTGGCGCCTGCTGTGTCACTTTGGTGTCCTCTTCGATCAACTGCAAGAATTGTAGCAGTTCCAGGATGGTGGTTGGTGCCCTTAGCCGAGTCAGTGGTCTTACCCAGGGGTGGACCAGTAGCTCCAGCTCTTTATTTATGTCTCGTCAAAGGCGAGTGGGTAGTTAACCTTTTCTTTGCAAGATTCTTTTTGCTTTTTGATTCCTGTGGAATGGCGCGTACTTCGCCTAAGGGCTACGGAAATGAGAGCTGCGGCCGCAGTCCACACGCCCAGCCTCAGGGCTTGCGTAGGGAAAAATGTTTGCCTAAATCAAGTGGTTTGATGCTAGTTTCAAGGTGCAGCCAATGGCGGGGTCGCAACCCCTTCTTGCATATCGGTAACAAGACTAGGATTCTGTACCCGGTCCGTGCAGAGTATAGTTGGACGCAAGATTATTTTTAAAGTCGTAACCAGAACGCCTCTTGAACTCCTAGTGCACAAATTTACTTTTTCAAACTTTGAGGGGTTTTTTGTTTTAAAACATTGCTTGATCCCTTCCTGTATCGGTCGAAAACTCCATGAACTTCAACTTTTACATTTCTTACGCGCACTTTTCGGGCAAGCAGGCAGCTAACGCCGAATCTCAACTTTTACTTGATAAGTAGATCTGCAAGATCGTTAAAACAACTAACCTTTAGAAAAATGAACTTTTCATTGGCTAACCCCTAGGTACAGAATCGCGACAATTTCGTACTTTTCTACTGTACCTATGCAATTTTTTCATCGCATATCAAAACTGCTGAATCAATGGGAACCAAAATGTACTAGGCTATAGCGCTCGCTTGACTGGTGCCAACTCGTTTAACGCGTCAGGGACGTAGGTACTTCGTACTTTTCGCCTCTTTTCAAAAACACATCCTGTCCAAATGGGACCCCTCCTAGTCGTTTATGTAGAAAATGTTCATAAACAAAACAAGTTAAAAATAGTTATGCAAACATACATGACGAGAGCGTATTTTCTACCCAATACTATCAAGGCTAGGGCCGGGAAAAAATACCGGTAGGTACGAGATCCTTGCCCCATTCTCTTTTTAGCACATTTTTTAAGAATTAAAAAAAATTTGCTATTGTTTGCGTTTTGTCCGTCCGTCCGGAACCACCTCTACCGTTTTGAACTACTTGTAGGGGAATGGTCCTAGAGTCCTGGAATTTTTTGAAGTAGGTAGCCTATACCTTGAAGATGTGCCAGACGGCCATCAAATTTCGCTGTCTAAAAAGCCCCCCCCCGCACGAATTATTTCCTGAGATGCTGTTTTTGAAAGTAAAACGTGCATAGCTTTTACATACGACAGCCAATTGGTCTCAGATTTTGCATACGTATGCTTTTAGTGGTGCCAAACTATAGAAAATGGATGGGGAGGGGGGGGGAGGGGTAAACATGTTCTACCCTTCATGGTAGTCTAACGAAACGTCTCATCGAAATAAATTGGTTTGTACAAACTATAACTTTCTCTTTTTCGAGATCAGTGAGCGACGGGGTCGGAGGGGGGGGGGTTACAAATTAATTTTATCTCTCATTGTATTCTACTTAAAGGTCTCACCGAAAGGAACCGTTTTCTACCAACTATTGCCCTTCTTCCCGTTCCTCAAAGTACGGGGTGGGGGTGGGGGGGAGTGGAACTAGTTTTATCCTTCATGGTACTCTAATGAAAGGTCTCAACGAAAGAATTAATTTCTACCAACCATAGCCCTTCTCCTCGACCTCTTATCGTGGTCGGGTATATTCCTTTATACTTCAACAACGGATTTTCAGAAGAGGGTACTCACAAAGGCGATTGATACGTCTGCAAGAAATATATTCATTGGTGATGTCAAAACAAAAGCTATTTCGGTTAAAAAAATGCGCTTTATCTGCACAAGAGTTGTGCATAATTTATACTTGTTTAGATTTGCTTCTTATGTCAAGTTCATATAATATACATATGCAAAGAAAGTCAGCATTGTATATGCGCAAACTATTTTGAGGACGTTAGTTTTACTGATATTTGTAGTGTTTTCATATAAAGTTTCATTTAAATATTTGACAAATAAAAAAGTTAGCATATCGCTACGCGCAGGATCCTTGCACGAAGCCAAATCAAATCAGCTCCATATCACCCAAATACGTTCAGTCGTGTACAAGTAGTACGTGTGACGGACGGATGGATTGGCGGATCACAAAGTGCAGCCAATAGCGATTTTTGAAAATAGGCCTTACTACCGAATTTGGAAATTTCAGCCCGGCCATTTGAGTGAGCATCAATATCAGTAGCTAATCAGATGTGTTGCAGCAAATCTGGTCTGATTAGATTGTGCCCAGTGTCAAATGAAGCGCGCTTAATTAGTATGAATTTTGGGACTGGTCGCGGATATTTATGATAACCAGAAGGCGAGGAATATTGTAGCATTTTTAAAGTGTTTAATTTTTCATTACACCGTAGGTACCGTTTAATTTTCATTCCGTTAATTGTAATTTGTTTCCCCTTAGATACTGTTAGTGAAGTTGAGCTTCCGTTCTCGCTTTAGGCAAACACTACCGTTTCCGTGTGCTGTAATTCCGTTTTAGATTATTCGCTATTGACCGACCGCCCGTTCCTCGGAATCGCCGTCACCTCCATCTGATTCCCTGAGGCTTCCAAAACCGCCGCTCTAATCGTAGTGTTATCGCAGAACAAAAAGATAAAATGGATGAAGAAATTACGAAAAAAAAACTTGATTAATGTAACTATAATTGCTTATTCCTATGAATGTGATTGGCCAAGGGATTTTATTGCTTAATATTTAAAGCCGACCAAAGATTTAAGGTTAGACCCTCCTCTAAACACTCATTAAACCAGGCATTAAACAGATGGGTTAAAGAAGGCCTTAGAGCAGCTTCTGTTGATATGTTTATCTTTAAGGAATATCGATTGACAAAATAAGATTAGGTGATGGTTGAAGTTAGAATTTCACTGTTCCACAAAATAATCAAAGTGACTTACAAAAATTACATGAACTGTATCTACTTACCAGGTGTTATTAATATCAATTGGCACATCACGTGATATATGTACAAACTCGGAAATATTTATATCGCCAATGACAGGTGTCGACACAGCTTGGAGTAACAGAGTCGTAATCGCTGTAATTGATAAGCTTGTCACATGAATAATAGTATTTGCATCTTCCAACACGGTATCAACCATAGCGTTTGTATTCAACACACTTAACAAGCACATCCACGTCTCTTCAAATTGTTGCCTACTGGTCCAACCCAAAAGCGTTGTCCTGCAAGAACAGGCACTAGTCAATTGAATTAGCCATGCGCACTTACCTGAATATGAACTCTTCCAAAACATCAACTTCTTGCAGAAATTCGATTGGTAACGGAGGGACCTCTGTATCATTATTTGGTGCTTGTAAACCATTCTTCCACGCCCCCAGTGGAATTAACAAATAGGAGTATGCAAAAGGTTTCCTACCTAATGCTACAATTATATCTTTAATAGTACAATATAATGTCTTAGGGAAGGGAATTGATGAAAGTTCGTGTTTTTCTACCCAGCAAATTAGTACAGACAATTGATGTACAGCATGTGCTCTAGAAACCTTCTCGAGATTTTCTAAAGCAGTCGATAATCCATATTTAGGAATGTCAGGTAACGGCTGACCACCTAATAATAAGTTAAATACTAATTTATATAAACTATTAACAGCAGAACACAGCCATGATGTAACGTTATCGTCCACTAAAATATCACGAAAGCAACTATTTGTTAAAATCACTTTTGAACACGTAACAGCCATATCCACATAATGAATATTTATATTCTTATCCAAGTCAACCATGAAATTGATAGATTCTAAACAAACTACGGCAAATTTTACGAAGTCGTCTAAATTAGCAGAAGGAATCGATGGAACTACATCGGTCAAGGAATCGATGTAACGAGTAACAGCGGGAATGATGTCGTATAGGAAATTCCAAAATAAATTGTCTGAATACAGTTCTGTAACTCTATGACTATATTTTGATTCTTGCGGTTGCTCTTTTCTTCCAAACGGTCGATATATCTAAAAACCAGCACGTCTTTACAACAACCTAATAGTAGATATACAGGGTGTTCCAAAAACTATATCAATGGCTCTGTATTAATACGAACCTGATGAGATTTCGGTAACAAGCTTCTGATATTTCCAACATTTTTTATCAATACATTAATAGACGCACGCAACAAATCCGGTTCCTCATTTATGTGATTTTCCTTCGCAAAATTCACACTCCATGTAATACAATCTTTTAAAACGATCACATTAAAATCCTTATTGGACATGATGTTCAGTAAATCGCCGTAATCTAAATGACTCAATACTTCTCCCATCTCAGGTTCAATTTTATTACTCCTACACCTAGATTTCACCTGCGAGATGTACCACGCCTTATTTACTTGCAGGTTTTTAATGTACTCCGGATTGACGGCACGAGATTGGTCGAACTCTAACGGGCTAATATCGTAATACTGCGTCGCTAACCTATTCAATAAGCTGACTAGTGTTTCGTGCCTAGAATTAGTCACCGTTTTGTATTTCTCAACAACAAGCAATGTACTCACTTTTTCACTAATTTTCTTTCGACCAAGAGATCCATAATTCGCATTAAATCTTCTTTTGCCAGTTGATTGCACACTTCCTCCATTGACATCGTGAGCAGAAGTTCAATTTTTCTGCTCGCAAGGTTCGCCGTTAGCCTTGATAAAGTCAATTCTCTGCAGTCGAGGAAATTGGGCACCAACGAGCACAGTAATGCCCCGACCTGCGTGGGGTGGATGTTTTCAATTGATTTTAAGGTTTTGGTTCTAAATGTTATCTGCAAGATTACACGGTTTCATTAATTGTTCTGTTGAGTAATAGATTTTGATGGTTTTGTATTTACAAATAGCAAATGTCTTTTATAAATTCTTGAAAATAAAGTGAAAACAGTCTGAAACTGTGCAAAGTCGGAATCGGCCCAAGCGTTTGGAAGTTATCGTGTTCACAGACAGACGGACACCATTGATTCCCCTATAAAGATTGCATCGCTTTGCGCCGCCGCTTAATAAAAATATGACAAGTTAAAATCAGAAATTTGTGTTTAAATGTTTTTTTTTTAATTAGTTAGTCTATCGATCGCTTGTTGCGTGGTATGTGTTATTCTGGCCCTGAGTGCCTGTTTTTCTTTCAGCTTATTTGATTGTTTTGTGATTAATCGAGCTCAAATATGATCCAGATGAGTTAAATGTTACATCAGATTTACAGATTTAAGTACCAAAGGAAGTATAACGCACTTACTGTCGCTTGAATCTGAATCACTTGAAACATAACGATATTTTCTTTTCAGATGCTTCGTGAGATCGTATTTAATTTATTCGAAGTTAGAGATATACATATCCTTTCATGGGATTTTTCCATATTACTTAACAAACAACCAAAAGCAATTAGACAAACACCAGGACGTTGCGTTAACAAACGTGCATACTAGTCAACACAGAGCGACAGAACAACTCTGTACCTTAAGCTCGCTTGACGTGGAGCAATAAAAATTGCAATAGCATGTAAGTTGCCAGAGACTTGCATGCAATTTTTATAGGATTTGGGCCATTTTTCTTGCATGAACCGCGCAATTCAAGGGATAACCCTAGTTGTTTTTGAATCCCCTCGTATTTTGATTTTTATTGTTCAATTCGATTACGTTTACAAGATTAAAGACATCTGGAAATAATATTGCGTTAAACGGTTTTTTAAAAAATTTATCTCATTCAAATCCGGTCATGTGATAAGGAGTTCGCCAAAGTGTGTTAGCTTATTGAAGACACATATTTGTTGGATACAAGTGGGGGCGCCGGCGATCTTGCTTTTGAAATTTTGCTAATGGCTAAAGCGAATTTGATTGATGATTTATTTTCCTGGTCATCAGTCAGTTTTGTGGGTTGCAAAGTTCTTGTAGAACAAAGTTTAGATGGTGTTCTAAGAGATTTTAATTCATCGTTATAAAGTGAATGTTCTAGTTCGAGTTAAACTCAAGCGCTGTGTCATGTATGGAAGTAGTTCGAGTGTTGTCAATTGGTGTTTGTGTTTTTGCGCGTCTGCTGTTAAAGAAAATCGCAGTTATGACCGGATGTTGGGATTATTAAACTCTTTAAGGTAATTAAACCTTTCTTTTAAATATAATGTCTTTCAATCGATCGCATGTGCGTGGTACTTTGTTTGTAGGCCCTGAGTGCCTGTTTTTTTACAGCATTATTGATTGATTTTTGTTGAATACATCTGCGTGTGTAAAGGATCAGATTTGTGATTAATCGAACCCAGATAAGAACTTTCTAAAGGCGTAAGGTATTTTTTCAGCTATGGGAAAATTAATCTAGACTTACATCTGATATTGGAAGACATTTTGCATTTATTGCTTGTAAAACGAGACCACTGGCGGATGGATTTCTATGGAGGGAAGAAAAAAATTCGTATATAGGATCTTCATCACATAATCTAACAAGAGTTTGAATATTGTGCACCAAAAACCAGGTCAGTTGTTCGGCATCCCCGATGTTCTCATCCTAAATAATAATACATAACATCAAAATCATGAAGCGCACAAACTTACCACGTAACCATCACAGAATGCTATCATGCCACCAATTCGAGCTATTTCCAGATTAATACACTTTAACTTCTGTTCCACCAACTGATCTTGACTAAAAATGAAAGCAAAGTTAGTCGGACAACAACTTTCTCGACTACCTACAATTTATTAACAATACCGTAACTCTCCGGAAGTTGCATAATGGTACACCAAAACTTTCGATCATTATAATTCAGCAATGTTAGCAGGTAGCACCACTCGATCGTTAGTGTTGGAAAAAATGGAGAGAGCCTAATAATATTTGCATTAACACGATTAATCGGAAGTTCTTCGCTGCTACTATGCTCTTCGTTCACCAAGTGAATGGCGGTGTTTGCAATTTTGCAATGGCTACCTTCACATTGATACATTTAGGAATTTATTTACAAAACTGTAGTTAGTTACCTGATTGAAAGATGTGGGTGCAGACTAAAAGAAAGCTCGAAATCTCTTCCAATAAGAATAGTTCAACTTGTGTGCACTCAGAGTTTATTACTTCAGTGCATCTGTCAATTGCAAGGTCGATTATGCGGAAAATATAACGAACGAAAACCGCCTCTGGACTCATGTCACTAAACAAACTGATCGTGTTGCTAACATTCAGAGGATCTGAAGTTGTGGTCACATTAGAAAACACACTTAACGGCGCGTAGTCTGTTTGAGTCTCCACGATTTTTAATAACAAAAGTTCCTCCTTAACTTGCAAAATGACTAAAAACAAAGTAAGAGTTTTTCCAAGCCAACGAATCACTTGCCGCAATGAGCTGTCCTAAAATATCAGTCGGCTACTACTGCAGAGTAACACGGTCACTTACATTTAATGGTGGCTCATCAAATAATGTAAAGAGGACTTCATTTAACGGTTTAAACACACTGGGATTCAAAACGTACACAAATTTCCTAACGCTGATTATGTCACTTTTGTTAGCGATCGTTATTTTATTTTGTCTCAGCATCGGTAAAAAGACATCAGACACCTGTCGAGACCATTTCAACCACCTATCTGTGCTGTTATCGCAGTACTTGCTTTCATTCAAAATTAAAGTTAGCAAACGGATGACGTCAGGATACTCCAGTAGGCGCAGAAGCATGGAGAGCAACACCTCTCGTGTCGTTTCCAACTCGTTAAAGTCGGACGTATTCGATTTATTTCGACACAAAAAGATGTCTTCAATTATTGGTTCTAACGCTGGAATACAATGAGTCAACAGTGGCTGTCCACTCGCCATTAACCCGTCGCATAATTGAATGATCTTTGGTACGCTGATTATGCTCTTCGAATGCTGTTTACCGTACGACAAGTGCACGAGAAAATTAAATATTTGCGGTATGAGCTCGTTTGCGAACCTGCAAGTGAATGGACCTTTAATCTTATACTATAGTGCGCACAATAAAATAGCGAGACAACCCCTAGTACTTTTTAGATACAGCAAACTTGAAAGTATAGATGTTGCGCCATCGCCAATATTACCATTCATTAAGGTTTGTCGGTAAAAAATACAGGTTCCTTGTTTCGATTTGATTATAGTATTCAAGGTGATTCAACAATTGCACAAGGTGCTATTATGGCCCTAACAAAGGATTTGTAGAGATTGTACTTTTTTATGATAATATGGTAGAATATTCTGCATATTTAAAAATTTTTCGACTTATACAAAGTGCGATCACAAAGTAGGGAGCCAAAAAAACAGTCTTTCAAGCGGACGCCATGTGTTTGGTGACGAATTCTAGTTCTAGATGAAATCTTAGGCATTTTTTAAAACACAGGGTGGAAATGTGGGCTAGAGCTTTGAATATACTTATCTTAAAAACAACATTTTTTAAGATTTTTATGGAATCTAAAATTATTACATATTCTTAAAGGTACTATTTAATAATATATAGGCAATGAAAACTAGTAGTTGCCTTAAAAAAACAAGAAAAAAGATTTTCGCCCCAAGGCGAGTAAGTTTAGCGCATTTTCAATGCACAGATCAATCCTTCCCAAAAGGATATATGGATATAAGCAAGACACAAGCACTTCTATGGTTAAACAGTTGACCATTCGCAGTTTGCGCAACTTCGTTGGAAAATGCGCTAATCATATGCCCCCCCCCCCTTGACCGTGCAGAAATACGCCACTGACCACAAATTTTAAGTACATAGATTATTTTTAACTTACTATAACTGACGATAAAATAAAAACTTTTTTACAAAAAATTGTAGTTTTGAAGATATATTCAGTGTTATAGGCAAAGTGTTCACCCTGTATGTAAAACTAACGAAACAGTTATAGTTTCAAAGACAATTCGAATCATAATAAAAACAAGTAAAAAGGTTTTCGCCCTAAGGCGAGTAACTTAAGCGCATTTTCCATGCATTGATCAGTACTTCCCAAAAGGCCATACCTATGTGCGCTTTGTTGTTTTTAATTACAGGTATCTATGGGTCAAATTTCAAAGAAATATCTCCATATATCGTTAAAATTTTACAGAGATCTTCATAAGTAAAAAAAGGCATTTTGCAATTTGCTCATTTGATTTTTACTGTGTGCGATGTGTTTGCCTTTGCCAATGAAAGTTGTAGTTTCCGATTTTTACTACAGGTGATACAATTTTCCTTACTAGAGGCATTTATGGGTAAAATTTCAAAAAAATATCTTCATACATAAAGTAATTGGCACTGCGTAGAATGCGCACGCGCACACCTTCGCTGTAACGCGTTCGCACCTGCAGATTCAGTATGGGGTCTTATGGACTAATTGCCTCTCTTACTAGTTTGCGCCATTCTTCTATAATACTATCCTTGTTTCTAACCGCATTGATGTCAAATTGACATATGATTAAAACAAAACATAATCTCCTTGTGCTGTCATTGTCACGTTTGGCAAGCATGTACTGTATGTCCATAAGCACCATACTGAATATGGAGGTGCGAACGCGCTATAGTATCGTCGCTCTTATCGTTTATCGCAGCTCCAACATAAATGTACCCTAATGTTTACAATAAGAGATATGTTTGCCTTTAACAGAAGCATTTGTGATTACAATTCTAAAAGATATCTGGATAAATAACGCAGTTGACATTGCGCATCCTGCGCACGCGCACATTATTCTGATGTTTACAATATGCGATATGTTTGCTTTTACTATCTCAATCTTTGGTTAAAATTTCAAAGAAATATTTCCATCAGAAATCTGCGCATGCGCACATCTCATGTTTGTCTTTACTAGGTATCTGTGGTTAAATTTCAACAAAATATATTAACAAATAATAATAAAGTTGATAACGTGCTTCGTTGGAAAATGCGCTAAAGATAGCATTTGCAAGCCTTGGTCTAATTGTTAAAATTACATATTAAATTGAATTTAGTAAAAGTCAAATGAGCATGTTTTCAATCCAATAATTAAGAGTTTATTTACAGAGTGTTTTCTTTATAGGTCTAATGTTACAAAATTTCACACTATACAGGGTGTTCCTAAATATAAATATGGAAGGACCTAATTCTTTGGCTTATTTTGTGTTCAAAAGTTCATAATATTCATAGGCCTGCAAACGCTTCGTTTCCGATCTACAGGGTGTTAAATTTCAAGATGTTTTATCTTCTCCTTCATGTTCCACTTTCTATCCCAGAACATTTTTCGATGCGCCACTGGTTTTCTGATTTGTTTGGAAACTTTTTGGTCTCTTGTAATTTTTTCGTATTTACGAATTACGAATACGAATGTATATTTAGAGCGGGTCTTTTATGTTTGAGTTAACCCCATTTGATGATTAACCTCTTGTTCGAATACATTTGTTTACATGGAAATTGACTGCCATATACGCATGAATGTCTCATGAAACTATTTGAATCAGTTTTATTTAAAAAAAAATCGGAACTCTTTTTAGGAGGTGTCCACAACTCTAATTAAAATACAAAATTTTGTCCAAATCAGTTTCTGTTATTTACTGTAAGATCGTCTCAGTATTCTATTCTTTACACATTTATACTTACGGTATCTGGCCCTCTTCAAGGTACTCAAACTGCTTCAAGACAAACCCGATGAATATCTGTTCGGAATCTAGGAGGCAATAATTGACGCGTAACTGCACCAATTGGCACAGCAGTTGTAAAACGCAGCACTGATCTCTGACATTACTTGTAATGGTATATTGCTAAAAGCACGTTGTGACCGATCGACCAATAATGCTAGTAGGTACTCACCTTTAATGACTTGATCACCATTGGCTCGAAAAGTCTAATATAACTAGCTAAAATTGAATCTGCTCCCCTAGGCAAACCTAAGGATTTTTTGCTATTCCTCCGATGTAAATAGCCCATAACTACGCTATCGCCGTCGCAGTTTAATTTACTCGAGTTATTAAAACCGTTGATACAAACTGAAATATCAGTGTATGGTTTACGAAAGATGGTATGGTAAAATGAGTAATTCCCATCCTTGAAATAATATAAAGAAACTGCCTGGTTTGGTAACCCGCTACTCACCTCTACGTTTTGTTGTGGAAGTGCAATGTTCGTAATATTTCCGGTTAAGTTTGTATGAAATAAGCTTTTCAGCAGCTGCTGGACGCATTCCACGGTATACGACGGCTCTAGATTGAATGTACAGCAGCAATAATTGAGAATTTCCTCGGATACTCGACCTGATTCGAAGAGCCCCGCTATTTCCAGAAGTTGAGATAATGCCAGTAAGGTAGTTCGTAATAGTTCAAGAAATTGTTCGGAGGCCTCCGTGTCCAAAGTTGTCTGCAACATGCAGAAGAGCTTTATAATAAGTAAATATTAGTGTTCACGTTCGTTCTTATACATTCTTAGGCTCTCAAACGCGCTAAAGCTTTCTGTGATTATCACCAACAGACTAACAGCAATAAGTACAGGTACAAACGACTTGAATTCAAATAAACAAAGAAATAATTCTGAAACGAACAGTACAAATACCGCAATACTGTATCTAATTTTCGAAGAAAGCGAAACCTTCTAAATAGCTTAAGAGTTGGGTGCAAACAAAATGATCAGAAGTGGGATAATGAATTACCGTTTCCGTGTTCAGGAGGTTACTACCTTGCTGTAAGGATAATTCCTATTACCTAAAAATCCGAAGCCGAATTTTAAACTCCCTTGCTCAAACGAAGAACGTATTTTTTTGTATTGTTGAATTCTGAAACTACAGAACAGTTATTTTTAGTTCAAGCCAGCAAAGGCAGTATACGCTTCAGTTCTATGTTTGAGCACATGACCAAGCGAGTGTTTCATCTAGAATGAAAGAGTCAGAACGCTGTAGCGCAAGAGTGCTAAACATAATATTTTCCACAATCAGATTCGTTATTTAACTCATGTTTGCGAAATTAAATTTCTAATACATACTATGATCTTCTTACAATGATTTTCATGGTAACCGAAGGCATTGTAACCATTCAACAAATTTGCTCACTAGAGATCAACCCGGTCGGTTTTGCTACTATAATGAAAAATACCAAAGCATGTTATTAATTAATAGTTGTGAAAAAATGATTTTTTTACAATACTCAATTATGTCACTAATCGATTTTTATTTCATTACTAGTAGACCCAGCGAAAATTCTGATTATTTCAGAGGACAGAAAAATGCCCATTTTGTTCTTATTTTTTTAAATTGTATTTGAACACATAAGAAAAATTTTCAATACAACGTATCGTTGCGGAGAAATTATATTTCTCATTTTCCAGTAAATTTGCCTGATACGTATTCTCGAACGATTAGAGCGTTATACGCGGGTGCTCCTTCATATTGAAACAGTTTCCAACTTTTGCTTTTTTCGTGTGCCGACCATAGGTTTATCCGTAATAAAAAATGCTACTCAATACAGTATGTATTTTTTTACGGGCCATATTAAAACAGAAAGTTGATGATGATTTCTTTGAAATGGAACGTTATATGGAAAATCGCTCAACGCTGCCTTGCAGGCCTTAAATAGTTTTTTTATTTTTTTGTATTTGCTCCCAATAAGATCAGAAAAAATAAAAACACAATCGGAAAATTTCGGTTTTTCTGGAATATCTTTGCAAGCAATCTGAATTGTCTGGCTTTCTTGATAGAATAACAATAATAAATTAATTGCGCAATTTTTCCCTAATTTGATCATCTTTGTATCTTCTATGATTTTCTAGATCCCCATGATAGACATCCTTATCTTGGACACAGTTCAAATGAATTCACACACAAAGTAAATTGGGGACATTCAAAGGTCTTCCTCGTAACGTGAAAATGAGCTGCAACATGAAGCAGCACTTCAGTCGCTGGCTGGTGATGGCGAAATATGCATGTATCTATTGCAACAAACCACCTATTTTCCGCCTTGAAGTTTACATACTTTCATGACCACCTGGTACGTGAACACCTGGTATCTGGAAGCGCTTCTTTACGAAGTGTTGTGCCAAAAGTATTTGTGTTGGTTCTAGGAGTTGACGATACAAGAAAAAGGTAGTTGATTTAATTTCCAGAGTTTTGTTTCAGCCGCCATCATCGTAAACAAAAGCTGTAATTAATTTGTCGTTTGCAAGCGTTTGAGTTATTTTTTAGTTATCAAGACACCATTTTCAAGCTCATTTTGTTTTGACGCTTTTTTTAAATTCAAAGTTGCAGAAAAAACTAATCTCTATAGAAAAATAATCCTGGTTGGCGGTACAGGGGTGTTAAGTCATGTTAGAAAAAAATAACAAACATTTTCCGGTATCGCGTCTATCAATTGCATTGTGCGTTTGCCATTAATAAACATTTAAATTTACAGTTGTGACAAAGAGTAACTAATAATTCTTTGGTTGTGATTAGGATTTATTGCTTTCTAGGACTGACACAAACAAGGATAAGGGATTATTGTGGTATAAGTTTTGTACTGACCATTTGTGGTAAATTTATTTAATATTAATATTTCAGTAAGATATTGTAGAAGTGAATTTTCGTGGCCCACTGAAAAGTTTCTGGGCCTACCAATATTCTGTCATTCGTTCGTGGCCCCCGTTGAGAAACACTGATTTAGAAGACGAAGGCGCGAATTAATATTATAGAATGTCAGCTCTGTTAAGTCATTATTAGCAGGTTTTAGTTTCCTATGGTGATTTCAAACGAGCATTGAAACTACAGAGCCATGTAGTCCAGTCAATTTGTACTTTCTGATTACAAAAGGTCCGGTAAAAGATTTTATTTTTCAAACTTGTTTAAATAGTAAAGAGAGAAAAATCCAAGTTTGCCAATTCGAGTGACGTCGGGAGAAATTTCTGTGGTCAAAAATGTCTGCTTTTTTTCGATTTTTCTCAAATAACCTGCCAACGGCAATACCTAATCACTACGCTGACCGATAAGGGAATGCTTTTGTGATCTCTGGATTTACTCATACATATATAGATTAGGTACACTCCTGCCTCAGCTATTTCATCAGCGCTGGCGCCTGGTTTATTGAAAACTGTGATCACTTCCTTCATCGCAAAATTGTTGTGTAATACATCACAATATTTTATCTTCCCGTGTCCAAAGACGGAGGAAGTGATGCTACACCCACTAAATGCGTGAATAAAAAGAATAGTGCCCTCTTATGACCCTTCGTTTTCAATATATTCACCAATAGATAGGTATGTCTCGTTCAGAGGATTCATTTTGCCTTTGTGTGTACTCTCCTTCGACAAACCGTTCCGCTCATAAATTATGCCATCACCAGAAGATTCATTTCTTCCAGGCGTCGCAATCGTCTGTTGTGAGTACCCTTTCCGACAATCCGCTCTTGAGATATAAGTAATTATAAGCGATCACGATAATCGGTCAAGGAGGAAAACTATTGATTGGTAAAAGGTAATTCCTTTCATTGAGTCCATTCTTTAGAGTACCATGAAGGATAAAACAAGTTAGCATTTTTACATCTATTTTGACTGGACTAATGCAAATTTACACCTGTATCAGTTGGATAAGAGACCTTTTGTCGACCTGAGAAATTCAAGAGACAATAGGTGTTAATTAGAGTTATGAATTTAGGAACATTATCTGGCAAATTAAGTAAGTGTAATTAGCGGTACCTGATTAAATGAGATGCAGTAAACACCATCCGATTAACTCGTGGGGGTTCTCAAAAGAAGCGCTCTTAATTAATTTAAACGTTAAGGCCAATTACTGATTTTTAGAACGTAGACAGGCCGTTCAATTAATTAAAGATGTTGTAATTTTTCGATGTAGATAATTGAATACGGTGTGTCGGCTTGGAAAAGTGTCGTTCTTCCATGGAATGCCAGAATTTTATAAGGCAAAGCGGTTGTTTGGATGGGATCTTTTGCCTTTTTGCCAGTTTGTAGGTCATGTTCCCTTGTTATCCTTTATGAACGTTCCGTTAAATTAAAAGATAAACTTTCACAATTTTCATGGTGTTAGTTATAAGGGGTTCAGGTTTGTTTTTCTTTTCTATTTGATTTCCTGTAGCTACTGCTAATTAATATGTGCCTTGTTGCTTGCGTTCCCAAAACAGGAAATGCGGACAACATTCATTGATGTGTTGACAGTATGTGCCATGGCACCATCTTCCTGGAACCACACATTCCTTGGATTTATCCGTTTTCTGCGTAGTTCTGGCACCAAACCATTTTGGATCATCTGAACGCAGCGATTAGAATTAACTACTGAAATGGCATACAACTGCAAAGGTAGTAACGTTGCATTTGCCCCACTCCAATCGTCTTAGGCTCGTACTATGCGTTCTAAAAACATCTGGCGCCAGATTGTCACCCTGTTGAGTGTTGTACTTTTTAATTATTTCACTTGATGTCTGGCACTTTTCTGAAGTGGGTATTGCTATTACATCAGTTAATAAAATGTATTTTCTTCCCATTGAATCGATTAAACAAGGATAAAGTGCAAATGTTTACTTAAGGGTGTGGTTTCAATGTCTGTTATGGAGTTGACCACTACGAGCGCTCGCATACGTTTTGTGTTTTAGGCACCACATACACCAGGGCATCGATTCCCGAAGTTAGTCGATATGCTCCATGATGTGCATGTGATGTGACCGGCTGCCATGTCGTCATGATCGTATACGATAGGGATAAGTTCAAGTTTAGCTGCATTCCCGAATCGTGGACAAACTTTATGCGCTAACCAATCACAGACAAGAATTGAACTGTCATTTGTCAGTTTTGTATTTTGATTTGTTTTTGCATTATGGATACTGTTATTAATAACCAGAAAATCCTCAAACAATTCCATGTTTTATTTCACAGAAAATATGTGAATTTATAGGTTAGGGCACTGAATAACCTCTATAGCAAAACAGCTGCAAGATCCGTCCTGTAGCTGCAACTGCGCATGACTTTCACGCAACGAGTGGTCTAGACCAGTTACTTGTTACAGAATAATACAGGTAGTTCAATGATCATACCACAGATGTCACTTTTTGCAGTTCTGCAAATCAGGATGCGTAACTAGAAACTATTTATTGGAGTATTATGCTCTATAGAAAAATAAAGATGAAATTAAGCAATTTCTGTCTTTCTTTACAAGTAAAGGAACCACAAACAGAACATAATAAATTTCATCTAAAGCATCCGTGTGCAACTCGTGGGTTTCATAGGTGTTGCCATCAGTAGACAGTACCGTAAACTCCTTCGAGTGCATTTCCAGACTAAATCTAAATCATAGCGTTTTACATTATACACTTATAAAGTATTATTATTATTATAGTCGGTGTTTCTTATGAGAACTCAGGTCTAGCCTGGTTAACTAATCGCACGAATTAAAATCAAATAACGATTAGTGTTTGTCTGTACGTCGTTCGTCTGCTCAAGTTTTGTAGTCCTAAATTTAAAAAAAAAACAATTATTATTATTATTATTGCACGTATGTGCGAAAACTTATTGAATAAGTCAGTTTGTTTGATCAAATAATAATAATCGACTCCCCTAATCGCAAAATCTAAACTAAATTCTTCATGTATGTTGTACTTACCAAAGGTCTGATTGACACAATTATTTCCGTACATACATTTTATGGGGCAATAAATAACACAAAATATGTGAACGTTTGCACTAGAAGATAATAAAGAAGTTGGAATTGCGCTTCATAGAGAGACTCTTTATTAATAAAATAATAGAACAAGAATTTTAAGTGGGACAACTTACCTTATAATTGGAATACGAAGTTTTTAATAGATCGTACAGCTTTAAGTAATGCGGTAGATTAGCGAACTGACCCATTAAATTCAGCTTAACGTTTTCCAATTTTTTATCTAACTTGTCTTCTTTATCGGCATTTCGGCCTTGAGTGATGCTTTTGTATTTCTCACCCAAATCACTCTTACGCCTTTTGATAGGAGACAAAGTAGACGTTGGTAGATTTCCAAGTACCGGCTTACTTTGCACGTGATGAGGAGAAATTTCCTCGATGACGTGATAAAAAATGTTTAGTAATTTCAGTATGTGAACAAAGAACTGTTCGGTTAAGTTTGACAGATGTTCGTCTGTAAACATATCCCATAATGACTGTGTATCCTCCTCGTTTATTTCGGTCTTCGGTTTCAAATTGGGCAAACATAAACCTACAAATGCACACAGAGAAATTGCGGTTACAATGCACAGAGAAGTACAGACCGCAAATTAGGTTTCCGGATAATTTCAGCAGATTCAAATGACATTTTAAATCGTAAGCCATTGTGCTGTTACACAAAAAACTTACACACCCACGAAAGACATCCATTGAGCTACTAAGACATAGCTCTTTTCCGGAGCTATTCGTAATGGGCCACACGTTTTGATCTTGTTTTGTAGTGGAGATTATAGGAAAACAGCCCCAAGCGCTTGGGTAGAGTGTTGGTGGATAGGAGTGGGCCAACATGCACAACGTTTCAACACATCCAAACTAAAACTCTGTTGATTATAAAACTTTAGAGAATCTTAAAAATACTAACCATAAAGAATTTTGACACCGGACACAGCAAAAAATTCATTAAACTTAATACTATCCTGGAAAGCGAGTCGCTAATTGAATCTACGGCACTCTCACAAAGAGAACTGAAGGGAGAGGGCATGTTTAGTAATAGACGTTTTTGATTGTAGTTCATCTCAATTCCGTAACTAAACAAATTGGAGAAATATACATTCTTGAAGAATTTTGCTTTATTGGTAGTGGTGCTTTCATTTGGAAGATTTTGTTTGAAGTATAACAATGGAATAATTCTAAAAATAGTTGGTTAAATTTGAGCTTGTTAGTAACACAATACTTACTGCACTATAGCCGAAGAACAAGCAGAACGAACTTTTTGATTGTCGTACTTAAGCAACTCAAACAGTACATTGTGCAGGATCTTGTCTTGAAATTCGGAAGAGCCGATTACGTGGTGCACGGTAACGTAGTAAATGTTGGTAACAATGTCGAGTAGACTAACCTTGAAATTGCCAATGAAAATCAGGCAGTGTTGCGAGTATAACTTACTTTTACTAACCAATACGGATTCTGCGCAACACGCGGTAGGGCATCTAAAATGGGCTTAATTACAGCGTTAGTTTCTGATTCTAACAAATATTTCAGGCAAACGTTCAAGCTTTGCAATGTTTGACGTAAACAGTTTGAAGATTCGTCTTCCAATCCTTTCAATAGAATACTGACTAGGTTACTTATTTCAAAATCCTCGTTACTTTCAAGGGCACTATTCTGATTTATCCAAAGCTGGTATTGGTCACCGCTGCCGAGGATCACCGATCTTAAAAATTTTCCAATTATAATTCGCACAACACCTCGTAGTTGAGGATCAGTGTGATCTTTATACAGCAGTACGTCCGATAGAGCTTGTTTTTGAGACAGGATTTTGATATAATTCTTATCCAAATATGTTAATAATACCGAAGGATAAATTTCAACTATAGTCGATATACATGATAAGGATAAAGATTTCACAGAAACGCGCACTTTTTTGTCAGATATTGTTGTATGTGGAGCTCCAGTCAATAAAAACGACTTTGCGATTAATCTCACACAGTGGTATAAAGGAACGTCTGCATCTTGAAAACTTCCGATGTCGATTTCCTGCAAAGAGAAATCAAAATTATTAGTCTGAATACAACGTAAGTACAGGGTGAGTCAACGATTGCGCGGAGTAACTTAATGCCTTGAAGATAAGATTTTTCGATCGAATGCTTTTGTATTATGATATGGTTGAATATTCTCAACATTTTAAAAATATTTGGAATTATACAGGGTGCGCCCACAAAGCAGGGCGCCAAAATGGTACATTTTTAAATAGAACCCCCTGTATTTGAATGCATTTTTGAATTCTACGTGTAATTGTACGTCTTTTTTATTATATGGTTAATATTCGAAAAATTAGTAGTTTTAAAGATAATTCGATTTGTAAGAAAAATTGGGCATTTGCAAGCGTCACTATATTGTGAAAATTAATACTTAAATTTTGATTCCAGGTTTTATATCTTTTATCATGGGTTAAGTAAAAGTCAAATAAATACATCTGCTATGAAACATTAAAAAAATAGCTTACTGGGTGTTTTTTTTAGATCCAAAGTATTAATAATCTCACTTTTTTAAATGGAACACCCTGTATATTTTTCTGTCACCTTTTAGCTCCTTCAAAAACCTTCAACTTTTGATAACAATGTCCTATACCATCTCTGATATTTTTCAAAATATCTTGGTTTTCCTGGTTTTTATATTATAATCTTAAATAAGTTATATGTATTTTACATAATAACGAGGTGGCCATGCAAAAAAAGCAATTTTTATCTGCCTCGTCCAAAGCTAAAATCATATTTATTAATTCATTTTTCAAATAATTTATTTAAGTCTAAAAACTGGAGAATAAATTTGATAGTAAAAACATAAACAAATATCTTGGTTATCCTAGTTTTTATATTTTATGCTGAAATAAGTTCTAATTTACATAATAAAAAAAATTGCCGTTTTGCATGGCCACCTCACTATTATGTAAATTACATATAACTTATTTAAGATTAGATAAAAACCAGGAAAACCAAGATATTTCGAAAAATATCAGAGATACGTATAGGACATTATTATCAAAAGTTGAAGGTTTTTGGAAGAGCTAAAAGATGACAGAAAAATATACAGAGTGTTCCATTAAAAAAGTGATATTTTTAATATGAAGTTTTGCAACTTTAGACCTACCAAAAAAATACCCTGTAGGCTATATTTGCAATGTTTCATAGTATAGTAGAATTTAAGTAATAATTTTGACAATATATACTGACGCTTGCAAATCAGGGACCCGGACCGGACCGAAAAAGAACCGAAAACCCGACCGAAACCGGTATTTTTTTCTGGACCGAAAACCGAACCGAAACCGTTATTCCTTCAGAAATGGAAACGTATTGAGAACCGGAACACATATTACTTTTTTTAGTTTTTTACGGTTCTTAACCCGTTATTGGAAGTTGAAGGACGCGCCGGCAACCACGTTGAACCAATTGATAAAAATATTATTCTATGATTGCCACCGGTGGATTATAAATTTTTAATAAGGTGTCGAAATTGAAGGCATTACGGGGGCGGGCCGTGGCGCTAATTTAGCCCCTACTGTAAATGTAAATATTAAAAGGAGGGGGTTTTAGAAAATAAAAAAACAATACGTATTTTTTTACTTTTTGAATATTTTTTTTCTGTTTTTAGTAATAAATTAAGTTTAAATACATATTTCCCTCTTCCTTCTTTATTCCCCTTGTCGTTATACATTAGCTACACTGACGATACGTCACGTTTTGGTATTGATGATTTCATTTTCACGCCTATTAATTAACAAATCACGTTGTTATAATGAATTTTTGGAATGCCATACTTTCTGAAAAATTAGAACCGAAAATAACCGTTATGGACCGAAAAAAACGCGCAGAACCGAACCGGTATTTCTTTTTAAAACCGAAACCAGACCGGAACCGTTATAAATATTTTCGCTTAAATATAAACAGAACCGGAACCGATATTTCATTTGGGTCCGGGTCCCTGTTGCAAATGCCCAATTTTTCTTACAAATCGAATTATCTTTAAAACTATTAGTTTGTCGGATATTAACCAAATAATAAAAAACACGTACAATTCAAAAATGCATTCAAATATAGAGTTCTATTTAAAAAAATGTACCATTTTGGCGCCCCACGTAGTGAGCGCACGCTGTATAATTCCAAATATTTTTAAAATGTGGAGAATATTCAACCATATCATAATACAAAAGCATTCTATCGAAAAATCTGATCTTCAAGGCATTAAGTTACTCCACGCAATCGTTGACTCACCCTGTACCTACATTTAAGTCAAGGAAAATATTCATTTCATAAGCAAAAAAAAAATGGATTCCATTTGGTTTTGTGACCACATCAAAATTGTTTAAGGTCCCCGTTAATAAATGATAAACGGGTGATTTTCGCCAGATGATGAATTACAAAATGGAAATCAAAAATCAAGCGTATTATTAAAATTTGTATAAAAGTACATATTGAGGTTCAGAAATTTCACTAAGGACAGTTCTTCAAATATAATATACACATTAATCCTAAATCGCTACATACAAAAAATTCAACTTTCTTACGCTGGTTTTTGTACATGATTTCTACCAGCTTTAATGAACACCCGGTATATGGACGAACCCGATCGGGCGCTTCATTACGAAAAACTGTAGCTTCCACACCTACATATTTCTTCTTCTAGGACTTGGGATTAGGGGGTTAAGCTAAGAGCTTTAATTTGTAGCATCGTTTTAGTCGCCGATAAAGAAATCAAGATACAGTTACTAATTTGCTGCCGTTTGTAGCCGTTCACGTAGAGATATTTCAATTATCTGGGCAGCATTCAAAAGCTCTCTTCGTTGGAAAAGAAAGAAAAATTAATATCGTATGATTTCAGCTTCGTTAATTAATTGTTAGCCAATTTTAGTTTCCCAATGTTAAGTAAAAACGAGTATTAAAGCAAGCCAATGCCTGACCCGAAAATTCCAAGTTACAATTGGTATTAACTATACTTCCGAATTTTTGAATTTCAACCTGGCCAATGAAGTGACTATAATAAACCGTAGTCAATTCATTGTGTTTATATGGGTTGTGTTTAGTATTGTTGGAAGCGGTTAAATGGCGAGTAATTAATTAATGAAGTTTTAATTTGTGAACGTTATCACCCGAGTACGTCGTGCTGGCTGGGAAAACCACCTGGCACTTCCACAAATTTCCAAATTCTATAAAAGATGAGGCCGTTATTTAAGGGATCTTTTTTGCATCTTTTGGCGTCAGCGTCTAAATTTGTACGAATTTTTCTTTTTACCGTACTGTTGAATTTCAAGGTCAGCCTGTGATATGTTTCTTTTCGTTAATTATAAATAGGCTCTTGGGCTGCGTTCCTGCATCTTGTTTCCCAGTAGATACCGTTAATAATTTGTGCCTCGGTTCCCGCTTAGGTAAATTACTGCCGTTTTCGTGTGGCGTAATTTTGTTTTAGCTTCTTCGCCAGTGAATTTCCGAAACCATAACCGACCGTCCTTGACTAGGAGCAAGGATCGACAAACTCCTGGTGACGCTCGAACTTCGTACCGTTCCGCCAAAACTACCACACAGATCCATCGATTACTGCAGTTGATTTGTAACGTAAAATCTAATACAATTCATGTTACCAAAGTTAACTATATTATTTTTTGTTGTTATAAGTTGTAGAAATTAAGTAATTCTATTTTTTTTCTGAAATTCAAATCCGTTTGAGCACAGGCTTCACTGGAGAGTTCGTCGCAATCACAAATACCCAGGTGTTGTGCATAATGGTTTGTTTTCATTTATTTTAGTGATTATTCCTGTTCCTGTTTAAGTCAGGATTATACATAATCCCGAAATATGTCAAGTCATACTTAATTCTGAGATGTAAGTCGAGATTAGGACGGAGTTTTTTAGGCTCTCCAGTACCAGGTGCTCCAGGTGTAGTTGGTTGTGTTTTTCATGGTCAAGATGTAAGTCCCACAAGTATGGGGCAAAGAAATGTCCACACGCGCGGTGCCCCCTGCACACGTATTGCGCCCGGTGCTCCAAGGTTGGGGCCGGTAGTTGCTGATTCTCTATTCACTCACGCATCTCCTCGGTCCGGACCTCTGATCCTAAGGCACCTTTAGGCACATCAAACACATGGCAGCACCGTCTAACCTGTGCAAGCCCTTGGTCACGATGTGACAGCCGGACATCAGCGTCCATGATGTAAATACTGACATATCTAGGTATTAAGTCTAATCCTCATTTAGAAAGAGCACTGCAGACATTGGTCGAAAATTCCCGAACAGAAACATTTTAAGATCTTTCTGGAAACCCCAAGTGGAGAATTAACATCGTCCATCTTAAAGCTAAGTAGGATGAAGAAAAATTTGCGACCGAGATGATCACAGGCCACTGTCGTTTGAACAAACACCTGCACAAAATGGGACTCGTGATGCAAGAATTGTGGGGAGGAAGAAAAAACATTTGCCAATGTGAAGCACACACAAAGGAAAGGGAACGCCTACTTGGAAATGAAAGAATTACCTACACAAGAGGAAGTAACGACGGTTCGCCCTACCAAATCCTAGACTTTGTTAAAGATACAAGTATTTTGAAGGGTAAACAATGCTGGGGAGCACAATACACCAAAATGTTGCAATGACTCGGGACTTAATAATAATAATAATAATAATAATTTATTGTCTCTGATCAACGTTATTGACATAGACATGGTCACAATGAAAGTTTGATATAAAAAACACACATATACATAAAAATTACAAAAGAACAAAATATAAATATGTCGGGATTAAGTGTAATCCCGAATTATATCTTGGGATTAAGTATAATAGTCACTTACATCTTGGGATTAAGTACTCGTATAATCCCAACTTACATATTGGTATTATGTGTAGTTAGGACTTATACAGGGTGATTCCTATAGTACCTACCACCGTTTGGGAGCGTATAGGGGGTGCCTAGGGGAAGTCTTTTCATATAGGACACTTGGGGTCGGAAATCCAAAATAAGGGCGCCAGAACCAAATTTATCTTCTGG